TCGTCAATCTCTAGCTGTGAAAGCAGTCCCTTCTTTCGAATGTTGGAACACTGAGCTACTAGTTGTTTCGCCGTCATTGTGGATGTTGGGTATCGAAGAATCCATAGGTCCCTCATCCTTTTCATGTATCCCCTTCCGCCGGGGTTACTTGCGTAGTAGCATTCCAACAATGCCCTGTTTTTGTGTCTTGCCCACCGATGCCTTCTTGTTCCAGTAGCCCACTTCTCGTCAGGGTGCCCTGGTTCCTCAACACCTGACGCGGACCTTGTTGATCCGGGCGACGTCCGAGCCGGCATGCCTTCATATTTATCTGTCTCGCTCATGTCTGCGGTAGGCTCGCTTAGCATAGGGGGTCTAGCCTCATATTGGATGTTACAGGGGATATTTTTGCAAGTGCTGAATGAAACCATGAAAGAGCAGCTCGTTTTTCACGATTAGCCTGCCTCTTTTGCAGTTTCTGGAGTTAGTTTCCCTTTCCCTATGGATTGACAACCGCCTGAAAGAAAAAGAAGCTGAGAAGAACTACAGACCCCACAGGCCTTTGGCTCATGCACTTCCAGTTTCTGTCACTCCTGCTCCCCTTCCAGTACTGTAACTTGCCTCCGTCGCGGTTCTGTCACTTAACCTGTCTCACCTCCGTTTGCCCACCCGAATATGCAGAACCTCATGCCCATAACAACACCACTCCAGATCTCTCTACCATCTCATCTGAGTAGCATGACATATAGGAGGTTTTCAGTAAACAAAGTGCCATCTCACTTTCACCTCACAGACCAAATGATTGCGCGATTGAACTCCTCCCCGGATCTCTCTTCCCACTAGCTGTCTTTACATCTTGTCCTGGCCTGAACGAGCAGCCATGGAAAATATTTTCAGGAATCTCTCGCAGCAGGCATAATCTCCCCGTCCTTGAAGAACCCTCATCTGTGCATAGATTATAGGGGTCTGAATGACATCACAGTCAAAAACAAATACCCACTGCCTTTAATGAACTCTGCTTTCAAACATCTTCATGGTGCCACGATATTTACCAAAATCAACCTCTGCAACACATATAATTTGATTCGCATAAGACAGAGAGATGATGGAAGACTGCATTCAATACACCACTTGGACATTTCGGATATTTGGTAATGCTTTTGGGCTAATCAATGCCCCCAAGTCTTCCAAGCCCTTGTCAATGATATTCTTAGAGACTTTTTGAACAGATTCATTTTTGTATATCTGGATGATGTTCTGATCTACTGAAAACTCGAGGAACACCAAGCTCATGTCCATGCACCTCCTTGAAAGCGAATCCTATGTCAAAGCTTGAAATTGTGAATTTCACTTACCGTTTGTGTCTTTTCTGGGCTACATCCTGGTAGGAGGGCAGGTGAAGGCAGGTCCGGCCAAAGCCCAAGCGGTCAAGGAATGGCCAACTCCCACATCATGGAAGCATCTTCAACGGTTCTTGGGGTTTGCCAATATCTACAGATGGTTTATTTCAACTACAGCCCGATAGCCTCACCCTTAACATGCCTCACGTCCACCAATGTTCCATTCACCTGGTCACCTGAAGCTGACACTGGTTTCATCACTAAAACATCTGTTCACCAGACAAACCATTCATAGTGGAGGTAGACGCCTCCGACACTGGGGTCAGGGCAGTCCTGTCCCAGCGTTCTGGTCACCAAGCTAAACTCCAGCCCTGTGCCTTTTTTTCTCGTCGCCTCACCCCTGTAGAGAGAAATTATGATGTGGGCGACCAGGAGCTGTTAGCAGTTAAACCTCCCTGGAGGAGTGGCGAAACCTGCTGGAGAGAATGGAGCAACCATTCACCATACGGGCTGCTCACAGGAACTTAACTTACCTTAGAATACCTAAGAGACTAAAGGCACACCAGGCACATTTTTTCCATTTCTTTCTGCCCAGGTTCTCGTAATGACAAACATGACACACTTTCTCACCAGTTCGTCCCCAAACTGATCATTTGTATCTCCCAACCATCCTCCCCTCTACATGCAAGATTGGGTACATAGCCGGACATTGCTGGAGACTGAAACTGACCTGGGAACTGGTCCAGCGAATCAACGCTTTGTGCCAGCAGCATCCCGTCCTGGACTGGGTTCATACTGTCCAAATACTGGCCATTCAAGGAACAGTCAGACCACTTCTTTATTCATGAGGTATTTCTGGTGGGATACTCTGGATAAAGATGTCAGGGAGTATGTGAGGGCCTGCACTCCCTGCGCCTGGAACAATACCCACACCCAACGTCACACGGGTTTGCTACAGCCTTTAGTTACGCCATACCGACCTGGGTCACATACAGCATTGGACTTTGTTATGCCAGTCCAATGCTGTTATACAGTTAGGGTATGGTTACAGTAATTATTTGGGCAGTGATTCTTTCTTTTGTCATTTTGCCTCTGTCCACTTCTGTTCATTACATTTTAAACAAACAAACAAACAAACAAAAAACAAATCAAGAAAAGAAAGAAAAAATCCAAATGAGATTAAGTGCAGTTTTGCAAAAGTATGGCTTCTACTTTTTAGAAATTACAACAATTTTTAAAAATAGTCTCTGATTTTCAGAAGCTCAAGAAATATGGACCTAAGTTTAAGATACTGGGCATATTGTAAAGGTATTTGGTCCACTATTTTCTTACTAAACGGACAAGTATAAAATTCTCTCAATATCCTTTTGTGTGTGTATATAAACAGGTCAAATGCGGAACCGTGCCAAAGGCAGAAGTGTAGGTAGTTTAGTCCAGAGGGTGAATGTTACTCTGGGCGAGCGTGGAGACAGACTAACTCGTGCTGAGGACAAAACTGTGGAACTGACACACAAAGTCCAGCAGTTTGCAGACACTGCTCATAAGGTAACATATACAGCCTTCTCTGCTAGATTAATCATTCAAAATTGTATATAGTATAGATAGTAGAATAGATAACCCATATTTGCACAATTGTTTGTTTGTCAAAATTTAACTGCCATACATTTTTTATTTCTGTTGTTCTATTTCCTATACAGCTAGCCCTGAAGTATTCAAAGTAGAGTGTATTGGAGAGAGAACCGCTAACTCTGGAAGATGCTAATAAGAAGAATATAAGAAGATTTACTCTTGGGCTCCAGGCTGTCACTAATTTGTTTCTATTATAACTAAATGTATCAAAGACAACTAAATAATATGTCCCTGTGTTCTGGGGCGCCTCTGCCCATAGGTAAATATCCTGTGAACTGTGTTTTGTCTGTTGTCAGATACTTTTATGAAAAGGAAAAAGTTATTTATTTAACATTTGTGTTGTTCTAGAATAGCTTTTGTATTTTAGCTTTTGTACAATAGCCTTGAAATTTATTTGAAAGCCACTCCAGAGAAAAATTAGTACTGCTCTCAGTGAATGGCATTAATTACTCCATTTGATTTAGTTTTGATTTTATGTTGATTTAATGTGCTTTAATTTGTATATTTCATAGTCTTCTTTAGTCTGGCATTATCAGTTGTTGTTATCCTTCTGTCTTTTTGTGTGTGTGTATGTACACTCACTGTCCAGTGTCTTATGTGTTGTCTACTATGTTCACATTATGTTTCCTGAACATCAAAGTGTCACGCTGTATTTATGCTGCTGTGCTGTGTATGTCATTTAGTCCATGTTAGTATTGTCTTAGAAAGTGGAGTGAAGGTAGATACGATGGTTTAGTTTAAGTGATTAGGGTACAGGGTACCTTAAGGATGTTTAAATGCTGCCTTTAGAAGACTCACAGCAGTGAATAGAGGATTAATTAAATCAGACTGACTCATTCTAACCCAACTTCTATTAAATGTTTTCTTTATTGCTTCTAGTGGCATTTTATATATGTGGTAGATGTCTGAAATTTTTCTTCAAACCTATCAACTCTTCTCTGTGATCTAATTAAATAAAAACATGTTGAGCTTATACAGGGTATCAGCTATTCCTCTAATAGTAAAAAATGAGACACTATTTTTTAAAAGGTAAACAACGAACCTCCTGATTTCCATTGGCTGTCTTTTTTTCTCCTTAGGAGTCAGAGGTAGGTCATGATCTATTCATGACCTACAGATGACCTATAGGTCATGATTAGGTGAATGAGGTGCTCTGTGTAGGTTCTCAGTCATCCAAATCTCATAACACTTTGAGTGTTGAGTTAGAGTAAAAGAGCTCTGTAAGTGTCTGTCCATTAAAATTTGTCCAGTTTAATGGACATCAGCCCTATAAGCTAAAAAGGAAGAATAAAAATAAATAAACAAACAAACACCAGGACAGAGAGAAAAAAGGCACCCCCATTCCCATTACGGCCACCCAAATCACAAAGGTCCAAACACCAGCTCTTATGGTGGTGAAAGAAGGCAACACGAATCCAGAAATGCCATGCAGAGTAAAGATAAGGATCGATCCACAATGCACACCAGTGCATAGAACCAGAAAATGTGAAAAAGGGCTTTCACCACAGCCCAAAAGCCCCCACCAACTTCTGAAAGAGGCCAGAAAGCTCATGCCAGACCCACCCTGGTAGCATGAACAGCCAGGATGAGAAGCTTAAAGCACCAGAGGAGCCTATGAACAGCTAACAGACCCAGAGCCCAGGAAGGACACCAGCTGGCACAACCCCAGCTGCACAGTTACCTCACCTTTTAAACAGCTTGGACCTTAGAGAGGTCCAGCAACTTACAATATATAGTATACACTATAATATAACAGAGTGGTTTTCTTTTCTCTGACCAAATAACCACATTTGCTCAGGGCCTTCTTGATACACTGCAAAAATCCACCTCCTTAATACTAGAAAAATACACTTATTTTTGGTGAAGATTTGCTTAAAACAAGTGAAATTATCTGCCAGTGGGGTAAGTGTTTTTTTCTTAATAAGATTTCTTGAAATAAGAACAATATCTAGATTTAAATAAAGCTAAAAATAAGTCTTTTACACTTATTCCAGGCAATAAATCAGAACATTGAGCCTTAAAATAAGCTTTAACCACTTATTCTAGGTCATAAATAAAGTTAATAAAGCTAAAAATAAGTCTTTTACACTTATTCCAGGCAATAAATCAGAACATTGAGCCTTAAAATAAGCTTTAACCACTTATTCTAGGTCATAAATAAAGTTAATAAAGCTAAAAATAAGTCTTTTACACTTATTCCAGGCAATAAATCAGAACATTGAGCCTTAAAATAAGCTTTATCATATATGATGCTTTTCTGCTTCCCTGGACACTCTATCTGTGGGGATGGTGTTGGTCATGGTGGAACACCACCAAGTCGTTGGTTCAGGTATGTGGATGGCATCTGGATGAAGATTAAGTCTCATAATGTACCCCAATTTACTGATCACACATGATGACGGATCCTGATGGATCAGCAAGAGTCTCCATTCTTTCTCTGAGAATTTTTTTTTTTTTTGTTTACAGTGACAACCCCCCTCCCCACAATCCTTCCACTGGGTTTGTAAACTGCCTTTGGGATGTGACAAGCAGTGGACCCATCACTGACTGCAGCTTCATGTGCATGGAGTGATGCAAATGATGACAAATTTCTTCTTCCCTCATCATGCATGTGACGCTAATCGGTGTAACACACAGTGATGGGCATGTCTTAGCACTTGGCTGAGGGGCTGAGCTGCCCCACCGAATCAGTCAGTGGAATCATACTGCTGTCAGGCCACACAGCACTCTCCTCTAGCTTACAGGCCTCTGTTTACCTTTATTGAGCTACAGTGCTTACCTCTCCCTGTTGCAGTTTGTGAGACACTTGAAGGACATAATTTCCATTTGGCATATGATGTGCTTGTCAATGCCATTAAGCTCTTACACATATCAATGTCAAGCAGATGACTGTGCAGTTATTTCTCAAAGTCTTAAAGTCTGATGAAGCATCTGAGTTTAATGCCCTTAACCCAACTTTTATTTATTCAGTTTAACTAAAAGCACATGTGTGCGGTTCCAGTGAGGAAATGCTAAAGTGCCATACTCATATTGTTCCGATATTGAGCAGATTTAACTGACATTTGAGCTACAAATATGTGTATCTGTTGTATTTTTTTAACTAATATTGTAGTTACCTTACAACAATGTAATCATTATCATATTCTGATCATTATCAGAATCATTATTATAATCATAATAATTTGTCACAGTCAGTTATACATGCAGGGTCTATATGTCCAGGATGAACTTTCATTCAGTTTACCTTGTACTTTTATCAGTATCAGAATCAATATGACTTATGGACACAAATATGCTTAAATACCTTCAAAATGACTAAAAGCCCCAACTTACAACTCATACAAAACTCTCCAAAGAACAAAGAGATGTTCCCATTCAGATATGTTCCAAGATGTGCCTTGCAGATTCAAACATATGCACCCACAGCACAGGCAATTCAGTTCTGTAGTGGGAATATCAATTGTATGTGTGTGTGTGTGTGTGTGTGTGTGTGTGTGTGTGTGTGTGTATCCACATATTTTAATCCAAAAAATTGTATAATCATTTATCCTGGTTCTTGTGTAAAAACAAATTACATAATTTATGCAGATTTGACAAGAAGATGTTTCCAGGGTAGCGGGCACAGCTGTGACCCACATCTTCATGGTTCCCTGTTTGACCAGCCTGATTCACCCGAGAGCTATTGTGGACACAGATCAGCGGGGGGCATGGTATGATGGGAAAGCATATTATAATATTTCCTAGATCTGAGAAACCCACAGAGAGGTTATACAAATGAAAGAGCAGAAACTCCTCAAATACTCTGGTTAAGCTTGTTCCATTAAGGTCATGCAGCAAACTCAGATGTTGAATCAATTCATGTTTCTAACAAAGTATGTCAAATAAAACAGTGACACTGACAAGTAAAACTGAATTGAATTTACCTGAACTGAAAATGAGTAATCCTCTACTCTGATAAGGAAAGGGAATACCATTAGGTGTTTGCTTGGTTTCATACTTTTATCACAAGAGGGCAGTAGTATGTCACTGAAAATTGGCCTCAACTGGGTTCACACAGAATAACTATTTATAAAATTATTATTAAGAGGCTACTTTAAATTTGTCCGAGTTAGTTAGTCACAAATAGAATTTTATCAAATATAAAGCTGATTTTCTCCTCAATTTCCAACACTAACCAAATATGACTACAAAAGCCCCCCGCCCCCACCCACACACACACACACACACACACACACACACACACACACAAAACAACCAAATAACAAATACCAAAAATAAAATAAAACAAAACTTCAATGCTCTGTAAGTTGGAGACTTACTGAGCCCAGACACTGCTCCACTAAATCAACTCGCTCTTGTCCTTCCAATTAATTCTTATCCATGACCAGTTTCATCTCCTGCGACATGGCAGGAGAGGGCTGGCTGTGATGGATGTGACATTAACGGGAAATGAAACCAGGGAGATGCAATGCCCCTGTCCAGTAGTGGCATTTGTCACTGCCCTGGTCAGGCAGATTGGGCCAGCCTTAACCAATGACTAAGATTAATGATGACGGTGGCCCTGTCTTTGTCTCCATGTGTTGTTTCCTAAAGCACATCACAGTCTCAAAAGTCTGCCTCATATTAACCCCACACACATCACAGACACAGCATCCACTTGTAAATAGGGGACTCATTGCGTTCATTTCTTCCAATAATTGTGGTGATATGTATGCCTATTTGATTTAAAAATGACAGTTTGGGCTAAAAAATAAACGTAAACCCAGGAAGACAAAAAGACTGGAAATTATATATTTTTACACTTAAATTTGAGTGTTTTGCAGCTATCTGGACTGGTGCGCAGTGTGGTGGGAATACCAAATCCTTGTTTATAATGAAGTAATAAAATAACCTTAAATGCACAGAAAACGGCCTTCCTCTGACAGATGAACTAGCCAGGCAGACTCAGATGGATGGGGGTTTGGGCCAATGGTATAGGAGTTCAGGGAAGCAGCATATACGCCTGGTCATCCATCATTTGCTGACACATCCAGTTATCTCCACCACATATACATGCAGATGTAATGCTGTGTTTGATCAGTAATCTGGCAATTCCTAGACAACACACATTTAAAGTTATATAACAGCTTGTTTTGATGAAGACTATCTGAATGATCTTGTGGATGATATTCACTAACCACCAAGGTTATTATCGTTAACGAAAACTAACGAAAACTAACGAAAACTAGAAGTGAAAAAACATTTTCGTTAACGGAAATAAAAATAAAAACAAAAAAAGGAAAACTAACTAAAACTGGAATGAGTGTTCACAAAACTAACTAAAATTAACTGAATTTATAGCAAAGATGTGTTTAGTTTTCATTGATGTGTGCGTGTCATACAATAGTCAAGGGTGAAAATGAAGTATAGTTTCCAGATTTTTTTCTTGCTGTGTCTCATTATGCCAGCAGGTGGCAG